TCAGCAGGAGCTCCTATAGCAAATGCTCCCAGACCAGGGGGACTCTGTTAGAGGTGGGATCAGGCTCTACTCCTAGCTTGGCCATTGGCCTTGCAGGTGTAAACTCACCTCTAACTATGGAGCACGACTGTTTTCGGTGGGGGCAGTGATAGAACGAGGAGCAATGGGCTCACGTTGCAGCTAGGGAAGTTGAGGTTGGATATAAGGAAAACCTTTCTCACTAGGAGGGTAGAAAAACACAGGAACAGGTTACCCAGAGCGGTGGGGGAGTCTCCATCCTTGCAGGTTTTGAAGCCCCGGGTGGACAAAGCCTTGTCTGGGATGCTGTCGTTGGGGCTGGTCCTGCTTGGAGCAGGGGTTGGACTAGATGTGACCTCCTGAGGTCCCTTCAACCCTTGTTTTCTATGCTAGGATGAAGGCTTTGCATTGTGTTTATCCTCAAGCCTTTCCATGGGGCTTCAGGTGCTGTGATAATTATGGACCAAAGAGACCAGCAGGGAGCTTCAGAGATCGTCAGTCCAACTCCATTGGCATCAGTCATAGCTGTAGGTGATGGGAAGGCAAGGTTGGCCCTATCTGAGGGTCTGGCTGGTCAATTATAGATATTAATGACCCTGCTGGGCTGGTCTGCACCATATGGACCTGCTTGCACAGAAATGACCTGCTGTGAGGTGAATGATTTATATTATATAAGAGCCCTGCTAAACAGCCTGTTCTTGATGCCCTTCGCAAGCAAGGGCAAAGCTGATTGTATCTGCTGGCGCTGCCAACGGCATTAACGAGGGCCAGTTTAATTCCCGTGGGTCAGGATGGACCTTAGTCGCTGAAGAGCCTTTTCCCTTTTCTCTGTGTCTGGTTCAAAGTGTGCCCTGGAGCCCTTTCCATGGGACCCACCTCCCTGTCCCCTGTGTACGTCTTCTGCCTCCCCCACCCGGTCTAAGAGAATGGCAAGCGCTTTCAGGGACCCCAGACATCAGCAGATGCAAAATCCTTGGGGCCAGGCAGGATGGGCCAAGTCCCTGGAGCATCGTCAGCATCCCCTTCTAGGACCTCCGAGTCCAGGCCGGGTGTAACGGCGATGGTGGGTGCCATGAGTGGAAAGCATCACCGGGGGAAGGAGAACCAGAAAGAAGCACAGGGACACTCTCGGGCCAGCAGCCTCGGTTAAAAATCCCCTGTGTATTTGTTACTCCGGGACTCTGTGTCTTCCCTGTGTCAGTCGCTGTCAAAATGGTCTAGCGCTTGTCTCCAACCTCACCGGACAGAGACAGTCCTTGTTCCCCGTGCCCAACATCCTCTCTTGTGACATCCTCAGCGCCCTGACTCTGTGACTCATCCCTTTCTGCCAGGCTCGCGGCCCCAAGCAGCTGGTGAGCAATGCTTCGTTCGTGCCTCCGCAGCTCGTGTTTTCTCCCCCACGTGCCTCCCCATGCCGTTGAATACCCCCCCCCCGAATCCCAGCATACTGTCCCTCCTTCACCAAACAGGCCCCGTTGCACGCTGACCGGCTTTGCTTGTGTTTTCCAGGCGTGTGCGGTTGCTGCGGTGCGCTGCGTCCCCGCTACAAGCGGCTGGGGGGG